TTCTAGGCATGGCATGGTGACCGTAGACCCCACCATGGATATCGCTTAGTAGAAGCTTCCCCTGTTCGACAGGGATATAGAGTTGTAGGATCCTAGTGTGGCTTTGTTTGTAGAGTTCGCCTTCTACAAGAATGAAGGACTTGGCGCGACGTGCGAGCTGTCGAGCTTCCATCTTGTCCGTCGACAGCGTGTCATAGAGGAGATAGTCAAGGTAGAGTGTTCTCCAGTCGATCAGAGGGTCAGGCTCTATCGCTGGATCCTCTTCAAGCTCCATGACCTTGGGGCCAGACGGAGTCATCGGTTGGTCAGCCCCGGGGCTGGATCAGATGGGCCATCGTTGGCCTGTTCTGACCCTTCATAGCGCACCGAGGGTTTGTGTTGGTCCCTGGCGAAGACACCGGTTGGCACCAGCTCTCGGCCGGACGCCGCTTTTGCAAGTACGTCGGTCGCCTCGTTGAGGCACCGTGGGATGTGATTGAGTTCGAGGCCGTCGAACTTGTCCTCTAGCCGTCGGACTTCTTGGTAGTATGCAGCCATCTTGGCATTGTGGCAGCTCGACTCCTTCATAACTTGGTTGACGACTAGCTGAGAGTCGCCCTGGATGTCGAGGCGTCGGATGCCCAACTCGATGGCGATGCGTAGGCCGTTGATGAGTGCTTCATACTCGGCCACATTATTTGATGAGGGCAAATGGAGACAAACCATGTACCTCATGCGGACCCCAAGGGGTGATACGAAGACCAGCCCCACGCTGGCGCTCTTCTTCATTAATGATCCATCGAAGTACATCGTCTAACACTCTTGATCGACGACCGCGATGAAGCCAGCCAACACCTGGGACTTGATCGCCGTTCGGGAGGCATATGTGATGCCTTGATCCATCAACTCGAGTGCCCACTTCATGGTTCTTCCCATGGCATCCTGGCTCTAGATAACCTCACCTAGGGGGAACGACGTCACGACCGTCATGGGGTGTGACTCGAAGTAGTGGCGTAGCTTCCTCTTGGTGATGAGGACGACGTATAAGAGCTTCTAGATTTGGGAGTACATAGGATGATGCACCTTGAGGGCGTGCCCCTCTTCCTCCTGCTCTACCACCAGGGCGGTGCTGACCACTTGCGTGGTTGCCGCTATGTATAGCAGGAGGGATTCTCCGTCGCTTAGAGGAACTAGGATCGGGGGCCTTGTTAGAAGCAGTTTGACCATGTCAAGTTCCTCCTGGGCCTCGGATGTCCACTCGAAGCGGTCAGCTTTCTTCAAGAGTCGATAAAGGGGGAGACCTCATTCGTCGAGGCATGAGATGAATCGTCTAAGTGCGGTGAGGCACCCTATGATTCGCTGAACCCCCTTTATGTTCTGAATCGGGCCCATCCTTGTGATGGCTGAGATCTTCTCTGGGTTGGCTTCGATGCCATGCTCGAAGACGATGAAGCTGAGTAGTATGCCCCTCGGGACCTTGAAAACACATTTTTTTAGGATTGAGTTTATGCCATTTGCTCGGAGTTTCACAAAGGTTTGCTCAAGATCGGCAATGAGGTGGTCAGCCTGTTTGGACTTAACTACGATGTCATCAACGTAGGCCTCAATGGTCCGCCCGATGAGGTCCCTGAAGCATCTTACCATACATCGCTGGTACATAGTCCTAGCGTTCTTTAGTTCGAACGGCATTGAAATGTAGCAGAGCGATCCGAAGGGGGTGATGAAAGACGTCGCGAGCTGGTCAAACTCTTTCATCGTGATTTGATGGTAGCCGGAGTACGTATCAAGGAAGCAGAGGGTTTCGCACCCCGAGGTAGAGTCGACTATTTAGTCTATGCACGACAAATGAAATGGGTCCTTTGGGCATGCTTTGTTGAGACCCGTATAGTCAACACACATCCTCCATTTCCCGCTCTTCTTTCATACAAGAACGGGATTAGCTAACCACTCTGGTTGGTATACTTCCCTGATGAATCCGGACGCCAATAGTTTTGCTATCTCTTCACCAATGGCCCTGCACTTCTCCTCATCGATGTGACATAGGCGTTGCTTCACCGGCTTAGAGCCTGGATGGATCTTCAAGGTATGCTCGGCGACCTCCCTCAAAATGCCTAGCATATCCGAGGGTTTCCACGCAAATATGTCTTTGTTGTCGTGGAAGAAGTCGATGAGCGTGCTTTCCTATTCAGAGGAAAGTGTGGTACCAATGCATACCATTTTACCCTCGGAGCTGCTGGGATCTATGAGGACCTCCTTGAAGCCCTCTACCGATTCGAACGACCCGGTTGATTTGTTCGCGTTGGGCGCTTCTTCGGTGACCTCCTCCTTGAGGGCGGCGAGTTCTTCGGAGGCGATGATTGCCATGGCGTGGCCACAGCACTTGACCTCGCACTCGTAGGCCCGCTGGAAGGAGGTGCCGACAGTGATGACCCCATGGGGCCCGGCATCTTCAGCTTGAGGTATGTATAGTTGGGGATGGCCGTGAACTTCGCGTAGCATGGACGTCCTAGGATGGCCATGAACTTCGGTGAGCTCGCTAACGGGCACGTTCGAGTGAAATCTAGGTCCATCATTCGTTGTGGGGTTGGCATAGCCCTCATGTGGCATTCCACTACTCCTTAACCCATGTCCCAGCAGATGCCTGGGTCATTCCTAAGATCGACCCGGGTGGCCCGCTGGCCTCCCCTCGATGGAGATTTTATGGGCATGGCTCAAGGTTAGGATCGAACGAGAAGGTTGAGATGACCATGTCTGCTTCGGAGCAGACTAGGCGAGGGCTACTGGGGCTCATCTGTGTTTTCTCCCCTAGCTCTGTTTGACGTGGGGCGGACATGAGCCCTTCGTGGGCCAGCCTTCGAACCCCTGTCGATCGTTGCTCATGTTGAATGAGGCAACTGCTGCTTCATGACGCAACACGGAGCGTTGTGATGCATTGAACTGCATATGCGATGCTTTGGATGTATGGAATGAATGAATGCGTGTATGGATGAATGTGTGAATGCGTGTATGAGAATGGATGAATGAATGTTTATGTATTTAGAAAATCAAACAAAGTAAGGGGGGTTGGTAGAGTTACCTTGACAACTCGAGTGACGGAGTTTGAGGAGCTCCTATCTGATATGTCCGATCAGGATCCACGTTTGTTGTTCATGACGGAGTCGGCATGGCTCACATGGGGAGTCCCTTTGCTCCTTACCTGTCCCTCGGCGTTTGCCTGAGCCGTCCGATCGACTCAGGAAACCTGTTGGTCTCTCCTGGGCGGAGATCTCGTAGTTGGGCCTTTCCAAGTCCCACCTGGGAAGGCGGAGGGCCGCCCGCGTGCAGTTGCGCCTTGTTTCTCATGCCCGGTGTGCGGTAGTGGTGGGCTATACCTAGGCCATGTCCCGTCTGATCAGGCGCCGTCTCATCGGGTAGGATGTGTCCCATCGGTCAGGGCGCGTCCCGTCATATCCCATCCGCATTAAATGGGGGAAGGGAGAGGGTTTCTTGCCCTAATCTTTCGTCTTTCCTCAACTGTTGCTCCTCTTCTTTAAATAGAGGAAGGGAGAGGGATTTTGTCCTGTTCCTTCACCGATTCCCCAACGACCGCCTTTCCTCCTTCTTTCTTGCCAAGAGCATTCGTGTGCGGTGGTTCCTAGGAGAAAAAGGGGAGAGCGAGGGAGAGGAGAAACTCATAGATCCATTCATGAATCCAGAGTGCAATGTCGAGCTAAAGGTCATCCATTATGAGCGAGTCAGTGCTGGCCGCCTTCGCTGAGAGCGGCACATGCATGGAGCATTAAATGTAGACGAAAAAAAAACTAATTGCGCAGTTTGGTTGGAAATCGCGAGACGAATCTTTTAAAGCTAATTAGTCCATGAAAAGCCTTAAGTGCTACAGTAACCCATATGTGCTAATGGTCAATTAATTAGTATCATTAGATTCGTCTCGTAGTTTCCTGATGGGTTCTGTAATTTATTTTTTTATTAGTATCCAAAACTCCTCCCGACATCCTTCCGACACATTCGATGTGATACCCAAAAATTTTCACCTCACTAACTAAACACCCCCTAAACTTGAAGCCGGTGAAGACAAAAGAATGTTCTTCACCGGCTTCTCATGGCATCGTAGCAACAAGCTAAAGTCGTTTAATGTCGTGCCAAAGAGCGCCCACCTATATGTCCCCCTCGTCATATGATCTCAGGCGATGAGAAGACCCTATTAAGTACACGTTTGGTACAATTTATAACTAGACCCTCTATCGTAATTTATAGTTTGTTTCAAATTTTCTAGATACACAACTTTTATTACATATGATGTGTCTAAATATATAATATGTCTGTATGCATAGCAAAAATCATGTACCTAAGAAGATGCAAAATGACCTATGATTTGTGACGAAGGTGATATTTATATGGCTAAAAGAAGCTGATACTAAAAGTTAAACAACACACAGTTCTCTATGTTTCCATTTGTGTTAAAATACAGAAACTAGGTTATTAGAACAATTTATCGTGACCACTCTTTTTTTCCTCTATTTGTACGTTTTCTCAGAAAAGTCTGTAGCAACTGGGCAGAAAATTGGACCTTCAAATGTGCTAGCCGCGAGGAATGTCCGGATGAATGAGCACACGGAGTCAAAACGCTAGACACTGACTAGCGGTCCCACACGAGTGACACGTCACCGATCGGGCGATTTCCGCCTTGCGCGCGCGTTTGCCGACGCGGAACCGCCCAAACGAAACGAAAGCCCTCGCGCGCCACGCCACCTCCACCGCCTCGCGCCGGTTCCGGATCGCGGACCAGCGACCCGTGCCCACACCACGCATCTGCCGTCCGCCCGAACGCATCCGACGGCTCCCCACCCACGATCCGCGTGATCGACTCCCATTGGCTGTCGCCGCGGCCCCGCGCCCCTATATATTCTCGCCCTCGCACCGGACAACCTCTCATCTCCCGCGACCCGCCCACAGCAGCCTCCCGGTTCAATCAATCCTCCAGCGCAAGCCGTCTCGTCGTCGTCGTCGGGTCGTGAGAAGGGATGGCGGGCCGTGGCAAGGCGATCGGCGCTGGCGCCGCGAAGAAGGCGACGTCGAGGAGCTCCAAGGCCGGGCTCCAGTTCCCCGTCGGCAGGATCGCCAGGTTCCTCAAGGCCGGCAAGTACGCCGAGCGCGTCGGCGCCGGTGCCCCCGTCTACCTCGCCGCCGTCCTCGAGTACCTCGCCGCTGAGGTTCGTGCCCCGCCCCGTTGTCCTTTCCCCTTCTGTTCGCGCTTTGCTTCGGGTCCCTGTCAATGCCCTCTCGATCTGGTTGTTCCGCCGTGGACGATTGTTCCTAGATCTGAATCGAGTCGTCTCCTGGATTAGTTGCATTGTAATTTGAAAATGCTTAGGACCCTTCCTCTCTCGATTAATTGGTCGAAAAATACCTCTTTGGATTCTGTAATTTATCAACTAGTAAATGTTAACATGAACTCCTGTAGAAATCAGAAATCTGAGGTGAATGGCAGTTGAATCGACTCGTCTGCTCTACTAGTTGCCCTGTAATTTGAAAAATGCTCGGACAATTCCTCCCTCGATTAATTGCTCAGGACAAATAATTGCAATTTTGAACATTTTCTGTTAGTAGAAATCTGAGTCAAATGCATCTCCTAGTCGAATGATTCTAGCATTCTGTGTTGCTTCTGCTAACCGATCTGTTCGTTCTCTCTGGTGCATCAACAGGTCCTGGAGCTTGCAGGGAACGCCGCGAGGGACAACAAGAAGACCCGCATCGTGCCGCGCCACATCCAGCTTGCCGTGCGCAACGATGAGGAGCTGACCAAGCTGCTGGGTGGCGCCACCATCGCGAGCGGCGGCGTGATGCCCAACATCCACCAGCACCTGCTCCCCAAGAAGGCTGCCTCGTCCAAGGCCACTGTCGACGACGACGACAACTGAGGCTGCCCGCCGCAGAAGAGATTCGACCACCGTCTGTCTTGTTTCGTAGGATTAGCAGGCTGTAGTCTTTGATTTCTTGGAGAGCTCGATATGCTGGGGATGGGAAGTAGGAGATGGTCACAATAGTTTCTTGGTTGGTTCCCTAGGTTCTTTGCAATGGGATGTGAATACGGCTAAGTTTTTGGGTTGTGAAACTCAGGGATGTACGCCAGATAATTTAATCGTTGAAGAAATGGATGGAGGTTAAAGTTTGAACAATCCTTTGTGATGTCTGATCTAGATGTCTTATTTGCATTCCTATTCAGAACTTGGCCCCGTACGCTTCTGTTTACAGTTGCATCGGCTGTAGCTGTATCAGTTGTTCATACAGTAGCCAGAGCAGTTGTGCTATCTGATCTGCAAGCCGATTTTTTGCTGTATCACAGTGCTACATTTGTTTTCTTCTGAGGCGGCAAGCTCGATGTGATTGATGTTTTCACCGATCAATGAAACCCATTGTTTCGTTTAGTTGCCAAAATTTGTGGTAAAAGCGTTTTTATTGTTATTTGGTAATTAATTAGTGTTTAATTATAGTCTAATTAGGTTTAAAAGATTCGTCTCGTGGATTTCGTCTAAACTGTGTAATTAGTTTTATTTTTTATTTATATTTAATGCTTTATGCATACGTCTAAAGATTCGATGTGATGAAGAATCTTGAAAAATTTGACATTTTGAAGAGGAACTAAACAGACCCTAAAGTTTAGTTCTCATGGTATCATATATTTGATCCATGCATAGAACATTAATTATACACTAAAAAATAATTAATTATATAAATTATGATTAATTTATGAGGCGATTTTTTCGAGCCTAAGTAGGTTAAGATGTGATAATATGGTGCTACAGTACAGCAACGCTGGTTTCATCGTGTGATGGAGCCATGTCCATATGGGCCTGCAATCTGGATGGGAGACTACAAGTAAAACGGGCCTGCAAGACATATCCTAATGCAACTATTAATTCAATTGGCATAAAAAAACTATTAATTCAATTGGACCTACAACCCAAACACGCATTCATGACAAATCTATTATTGTTAATGCTCTACATACAATCTAAGATTATAGTAGTTAATTAACTAAATAAATATCTCGAGACTATGATGCACGATTTATAGCTACGTTCCATGTATGTAGTTCCAATTTTTTAAGAATCAAGTTCCACTCTTTGAACAAAACAATCCAAAGAGGTATATCCTCTTGCAAACCTAGAACTTAAAATTGTCAATCCACGTTCCACGTATCCTGTTCCACGTACCCTTCGTACTGGGAGCTTAGTGACAATGGTCCAGCCTCGCGTGCCTCTGTCACCGCACTAGCATCTTCATCACGCGGCCGCTCATCAACATGCGGCCTGCTGGCGAGGCCCGACATGCGTAGCATCATCAGAGTCAGCGTGTGCTCCGCAAAGACGAATAATTAAATGTAACTAATATGTCATGAGCATTAAATTACTTTTATGAAAAAAGAGAAGTTGTATACTATTAAGATACTAAATTCGAGTATACGTTGTTGATGATACAACCTACTTAATAGGAAAAAAAGAATCTTAAATCCTGAGCCTCTCCTTGGCCGATCTACATTTGGTATTGAATCTCCATTTCTTCATAACAATTGTTGATTTTTTTGGGTTTCTATTTTCTTCGGTTGCAAAGATTACGTGTCCGGTACTCCCGTTGCAACGCACGGGTATTTTTGCTAGTAGCTAAAAGGTAGTCAACTTTTCACCGGACACCATACCAATATGCAACATACTGTATCATGCACTCCTCATTTTAGTTTTTCTTGATATACTATTTTTTTCTATATGTATGTAGACATATTGCATATTTAAATGCATAACAAAAAAACTTCATATCTAGAAAAACCCGAAATGTGTAATATGCAATCAGGAATGGATGGAATATTTATGAATTTAAGAATCAATGGGCCTGTTCGCTGGTTGGTGCTGGTGCTGGTTTGGGCTGGCTGGTGCTGGTTTTTTGTGAGAGGAAAACACTATTGGCTGGCTGGTTTGGGCGAGCTGAAACCAACAAGCGAACAGACTGAATGTGAGCGAACAGACTGAATGTGACAGAACCGTATACAGGAGTACTTGTCTTCCATTAGACACTAAGTTCCTAAGGAAGAACACTAAACTACGCAGTTCCGTCGAGCACACCTCAAGGGAGAACTCGAAAATCCACATTTTTTCATCAGAATCATAAATGAAAGAATAGATCTTACAACATTCTTAAGTCATTTCTTACAACACTTTATTATAGTAACAAAATATTACCTCAATTGATTATAACAGCGGAATATAACAATGTTATCAGAGTTATAGAGGAAGCAAGATTAATTTAATGACATGGTGAAGCATTAACATAGTGAATATTTTCATACAAGCGATGCTAGCAGATTTTACATATTTTCTTATAAAAACTTTTAGTGAGGATTATAAATAAACACTACGGTCGTAGCGTGAAAAGAATCGTCTCTGAGCCCACCAGGAGATTTCCACACACAAGAGTCAGCTCTAAGTATCCTCCGATCACCTGCAACAGGGGAATAAAACCCTGAGTACTCGATTGTACTCAGCAAGACTTAACCGACAGGAGGAAAATAAAAGACTCCAAGGACATGCAAGGCTATCTGGCTTGTGGGTTATTGCATCTGCGGAAGCATTACTAAACGTGCGTCCTTATATTCAACTTCATTAGCAGTCATCATTAGTTCATTAACTAACCATTCTATGTAAGCAACTATGCTATTTTCAAGCAGGTGGTAAGCAATCAAAACCATTTTATTACCTTTCAAGTTCTAGTTCTTACTACGATGCTAGACCATAGCCAAGTCGTACCGTCTCACGAAAACAGCGATTCGCAAACCAATGTATTCCAGCTGGGTACCCCGAAACACACGCCCCGTTTGTACCCCAGGCACAAACAAGACCAACACATTCCACTCCTATCACGGGGTCCAGGTCCCTGTCCAAACTTGGACTACAAGTCCCCACACTTGAGACCCAATCTCGGTATGGTGCTTAGATCTCCACCTTTCCTTGTCTCCAATCAGTCGGTCTGGAAAGAGTCAGAACCCACGACAAGAGCGTAACGAGCCTTTCCGCTCCCATAAGCAAGTATGTGCTTATGATAATAAGTCTGTGACCTGACTACCATCCACAGGAACAGACGGAACAAGTGCAATCCGAGCATCGCTCGAATGCCTAACAAAGTCCATATCCAAAGTACCATTTCGACTGATCTCCAATTATCATTCATATATATTCCATGTGACAGTAATATAATAACAACAATAATATCTTTCCTATCTCTCACGAGTGACAGGTAATCACTCGACTTCTACCGGATCCTATAGCATAGCAATATACATGATTCTGACATACTAGTAGGACTCATAGGATATATATATATGTATGTATGTAAGTTGTTTTCATTTAACTCCTTAAAACTTAATGCACAAGCATAAGATAAAGTACAGAATAATAGGGGTTATGCACCGAGGCTTGCCTGGGTAAGATATAACCAAAAGTTAGCATTTCATCATAGCGACACGATCATCAAGGCATCATCTTTTCCACTACTTCAGTTGACTCCATGATCCATCGTTGTTTCTATTATGATATACGTGAACGCAACGCAGAGACGTAAATAAACAACAGAAACCGAAACTCTTAGAAATACGATTACGCCTCACAAACTAACGAGATAGCTCTAATAACTAACGTGCTAGGCTACGTATCCATGTCGCCAAGTAATGCTTTGTCTCCAGAAAAATATTTTAGTTCTAAAATCCCAAGGTGTTTCGGCATTTTATTAATTAAACATATATTTTCGAACTAGGGCTCATTTAGCTACCTTAATAAACTAATTATTATGGAGTTATAAAAATTACAGTGAGAACCTAATAATATGAGGAATTTAGTATAAAACTTTCAGAGCCAACACTATCACCAATTTATCACAACAATTCCTACAAATTTATATCTTACAATATTAAGCATCTTAAATTAATTAGATAACTCATGAAAATATTATAAACTATGTGAACAAAATATACTAGTAGATAGATCATGATTTTAAGAATATAACAAAATTAGTTTCATAATTTTTGGACACCTATATCATTTTATATTAATTATCAAAGTTCAGCTTAGACATAAAAATAAAAAGCTATTTCTATTTTTCCAAAAAAAGATAACCGAATCTGGCCCAACGCGGCCCATGCGAGGCGCGGCCCGCGCACGGATGCGGCCCATAGCGAGGAGCCCACGTGCACACTGACATATTAGCAAAAGCGTCCCTAGACTCTAAACAAACAACCCGTAGTCCGTTACTATTCCTACAGACAACATCTATACAAAAAGACCCTTGCACTCTCTTCTCTTTACAATGGCATGGTCCCTGGCCTCCCCCGCGCACTCCGACGTGGCGAGCGGTGGCACTGGCGATAGCGCTGACCACCCGAGATCCATGCTGAGGTTGAATCTCACCAAGGGGTCGACGCGAGGCGATGGACGGCGGTTGCACGAGCTAGGACGCAATAGAAGGACCTCTCCACGACGGCGGGTACCGTACGGTAATGGCGACAATGTTCTGGTGAGTCGCAGAAACAACAAGGCAGTAGGAGTAGCGGGTGAGGAACGACAACTCACCAGTGACCTAACCAAGGTGCCAGCTCGACTGGAGATGACCCGAGCGAGGCTGGTCACGTGCGCGCTGCGAGGTGAACGGCGAACCGCAAAAGCACGGCCGCGTCAGCGGCGAGGAGGTGGCACTAGAGCTGCGACCAGCGTGCGCATGGTGCAGAGGGGCTCAAGGCGGAGCTATTGGGACAGCCAATTCGATGCGGGACTAAGTGGGAAGGACTGGCCATGGCGCGGGCGGTGACGGGTCTTAACGACGCGGTGGCGGGGCGAAGCTCCAAAATTGAGGCTTGACTGAGCCGCAATCAAAGCGGGGTGGGGACGGCTGGAGAGGGGACGTGAGGGCGGAGCAGTGGGCGCAGCGAATTAATGGAAGGCGTCCACTCGCGTCTAGGCGCTTTGGCGCGGCGCGGCGGCGGCGACAGCCGAGAGGCGGACAGGGGAGAAGCTAGCGGACGGGAGGTGGTGGGGACTTGGTCAGAGGCTTGGCATGTGGGTGCTTGGCGGGACACGATTGGCACGACCGGGGCGGCCCACGGCCAAGCACTAGCCGACGGCCACACGCTCGCTGCCGACGTGGCCCACGCATCGCAGTGCCATAAATAGCAAGGTGACGGCGACACGGCCTCATGCGCGCAACATCAAAATGGGCCAGCGACGCAGCGCGGTGCAGCAGCAGGCGATGCTGTGCGATGCAGCGGGCAGGCGCGAGCTCGACATGATGCGACAGCAGCAGCAGCGACTGCGTCGCGTCGCGAAGTGGGTCAGCGTCGTGGCAGCGCGCGGGGTAGGTTCAGCGCCGCTCAGCCGGGCAAGCCACAACAACGGCGGCTCCTCGCGGTCGGGTCAGGGCGACCAGGCTGGCCAAGAGCGGCAGCACGCGTGCGCACGCAGAGCGCGCCAAGCCGCGACGGCGCACCCCCGCGGCCTGGTGACCGCGCCTAGCCCGGAGGGCTAGCCCGAGAACGTGTTGTGCATGGATTTTAAAGCAGCGACTACCACCAAACCATTGCTTCTAAACCGAAACTAACTTCACCACGATAAAACTGACACATGAGGCTGCTTAGCCGAGCTAAAACACATCATCACCCTCGAACCCAATCTCTCTAGATAAATTACTAAACTTAGCAGTGTCCAGTTGTACACAAGCTTGAATTTTTCTAAGTTTTTTTAGTTGAACTCTATTTCAAATTACATTTCTAAGCTATTGAAAATATTATTAAGCAATATTATTTTTCAACAGCAAGTATTTCATTGTTATCTATAAAGTTTGCACTTTCAACTCTATTTAAGTATGACACGTGTTCTATAATATTTTTGCTTAATAAAAATTAGTTTTAAACCCTACTTGATATACATGAGCTATTGCATCACCATTGATTTAACATTTTTATTAATTATTTTAGGCTACAAAAAAATTATCAACACCTTCTATCACATGCATTATTACACAAAAACGATGCTCGTGGTATAAATTAGTAGTTGATTTAGGGCGTAACACCGAGGGCGTTACGATCAATAACTATGGGTATGATTGGTTGACCTTCAAATTTACGTGGTGCAATTTAGTTGCAAGCTCTTATGTAGGCTTGCATAGTGCTCAACAGGCCTATGCAACATTACGTAGTACATTTTTTCCATGCTAGACAATGCAGATTTATATAAGCCGATCGACCAAAAAAACATATATTCACATTCTCTACCTTTACTAAAAACATCAGACCTCTACTAAAACATATAAGGTGATTATATATGCAATAATATGTAAACAAACAAACATATTTTTATCAGACTTGGTTTGTCTATGCATGACAACTAAACATGGAGATCTAGGGCCTACTTGGTTAACTTCCAAAATTTACCGAGCTAAGGATTTGGCAAGCCATGATTTTAGCTACTATTTGATTAGCTACCAAAGCTCGCCAACTGCTCATATTTGCTTGCCAAACCTTTTTCAATTTTTTTTGCCTAACTTTGGCATACCAAATTTTAGTTGTAAACCAAACAAGCTCCTATACATTATGAGAAAAGATAAGGGTCTGATTGGTTGACTGCATAGCTCCTTCTCTAGGCTATGCAAGCTCAGTATGTTTGGTTCCTGTATAGAGCCTTAGACTATCTCTAACAACGGGAACCTAAAACAGAGACCCATTCTATGATTTACGTCGCCTACAGTAAAAGGGTAGCACACCCAAATCTTTCGTTCTCCAACGGCGATCAGCAAAAAAACGCGAGCGCGAGCAAAGGACGGCGGGGGCGGAGCGAAGGAGCGAGCAGCAGCTGCTGGCCGGGCGAAGCGGGCGGGGCTGGGTGGAGCTCGAGGGCGAACCATATCTGGATGGGAAGCAGCAGAGCCTCGCCACGGGTGCTTGAGCGAGCTTGAGGGCGAGCTCAAGGCCATGGTCGCCGGGAGCAGCGTGGCTCGGGCGGCAGCAAAGCAGCACACTGGCTCCAGGGGGCGGTGCCCTCGCTGATCTCTGGCGAAGCGGCGGCGCATGGCGGGGCGGCATACCTGGTCTTCGTGGGGGCGACGCGCATGGCGGCGGCGGCGCTCCTAGGTGAGTGGCTGCGGCGGTTTTGCGTCGACGTTTTTGGGTGGCACGGTTTTGGGTGCTCGGTTTCGCACGGTAGGGAGGGCGAGAAGCGGCTTTGGTGGCTCCTCTCCCTTCCGGTCACCGCCTCGACGTCGGCGATGGCCCCAGCGCGAGCTTCCAGGCAAAGCGCCGCCGCCGTCGTCGTTCGCTTCTGCTTTTGCGTCGTGGAGAATGATGATGCGTTTTGCCTACCGATTCACGTGGTACGCAAAATGGCTGGTTGGTTTGCGTCCTCCGTTGAGAGTATTTCCGGACGCAAATCACTATACGTAGCACATTTTGCGCTTTGGGTCGCTTCTTTGCGTCCACCGTTGGAGATACGATCCCTATGCGTGCTAGCACTCTCCTCGAAGCATCTTCATACCGTGCATCCAATCGTCGCCCCATTTTCCCAGATCCACTGCAGGCAGCTGCGTGACGGCAACGCCCCACTGCGCAGCCTCGTTGCATCCGGCCAGCAACATCTCGTGGTTTCGCGTTCAGAGCGGCGCGCGCTCGACGAAGTTGCGGTACGGCCGGCGGGCGCCTCTCGAAGTGGTGATGGCGCGCCGAAAGTGGCGGCCGCTTGCATCATCGCGGCGGCGGCGGGCGTCTTCTCTCACAATGGCCGGCGAGATCCATTATTTACATGTCCTCCTCGCGGAGGGCGCGGCGGCGCAGGGCTGTGTCCAATGGATGCTTTGATCGCAACCACCTCACCACCCGCTGCGCTTAGAAGGAGGGCCACGCCGACGTCGTCGAAGCTGGACGGACCACGACGACGCCGGCGTAGGCGCGGCTTCCGCCTGGCCTCTCTCGCACGACGCCACCGCGTCGGAATGTATGAAGGAGGGAAGTCTATCGTTCGAGTACAGCTCTGAGCTACCAACCGCCGCCGCCGCAGACGCCGCCGCCCCGCCACCATGCACTATTATGTAGTACTACCCGCCACTACCAACCCCAACGATCGCTTCCATAAATACTAGTAGTTCGGTTGCAGTTTCGTTTCATAGCGTAGGTATACATGGCCAACCGGGCCGCATGGCACGGCACTGGCACGGGCACGGCCAGGCACGGCACTATGCGGCACGGCAGCATAGCCGTGCCGTGCCTGATAGTGCCGCCGTCTTGGCCTAGGCACGGTAGCCCACCGCGCTACCGAAAGCACCGCCACCGCCGCCCGTCGAACAATGACCAGCGTGTCATGGAGCGCCGCTGTCGCACCGTGGAGCAAGCAAGAAGACGCCACATGACGACGCGCCGCCGCCTCTGCTCAAATGCCCATTGCCGTTTTAGGGCTCGTCGTTGTTGCCGTCGCCGCTGCCGCAGATCCCAAGACGGATGTGCCCCTGGTCGAGCGGCCATGGGAGTACTGGAGAAGGGAGTTCGCGCCGCCGCGACGAGGTCACCACGTCGTCGAGCCGCCATGGGGAGTACGGGAGGAGAAGGAGGAGCCGCCATGGGGAGTACAGGAGGAGGAGGAGGAGCCGCGATGGGGACCGCCGGGGCAGGAGGAGGAGTCGAGCATGGGGAGGACAGGAGATGACGGCCACAGGGAGGAGGCTACGGGAAGTGATTTGGGAATTGGGAGTTAGGGTTTTGGTCAACATATATACTCTCATCCGATGGCTACGAAATCCCCTGAATCATCCAATGGCTAGGAATTATCGGGCCGCATCGTGCCGGCCCAATTTTCGTGTTGCGTCTGCGGCCCAAGACTACGGGTCGGTGTGGTGGCTGCACGCGCATCACGTGTTGGCTGCTGCCCGCACCGCCCGGCCAGGCCGTGCTTTTTCATACGGGCCTGTATGTCACCAAATGGGCCTGGCCCGTTTGGATAACTATAAGCGTAGGATGTCCTGCTCGTCTCCTCAAGCAGCCGGGACGTGTTCGATGAATTGCCAAGCCTATTTTAGATGTGCAGTGCAACCAAACGTAAATTATTAGATGCAGCATATCATTATGCATCCAACCAAATAAAGACACAAATAATGCAACGGAGTAATTCAACCCAACCAAACAAGAGCAAATTGCATTCGCTTGTGCAGGCATAGCCAATGCTGTATAACTCGTAATGCAATGCAAGTGTTGTGCGAGCAACCAATCAGACCCTAAGGTAACTGGTATGAGTGGACTGAGTTGGACTAGCCTAATGTGCCAATTGTTACCGTAGAACTTGTAATTTGTTTTTCAATCTTTTGCGATTACTGTTTTTCAATCTTTTGCAAACCTGAAAAAACAAATACCACACCTACCCATGCCCGATGCCAAGGCCGAAAACTTGTGCTTATGCAACTGGGACCAAGCGGGCCGAATTTGACGAGTAATAAGAAAAAAAAATACGAGGCCCAAGACCCGGTGGTTCCCGTGGGGCCCACGATCCGGACGAAACGCTGTGGCGGCAAAACCAAAACCAACCCTTCACCCGACGGCACTCTTTGTCCAACTCCCATCGGACGGTCACGATCGATCCCCCACGGCAACCCCCACCTAGCCACGTCACTGATCCGCGCCCTCCCGCCCCATTGGCTGCCCGCATCTATATAATACAACCACCCACCGCTTCCCGTTCTTACGAACGCCGTCCTGTGTCCGTCCTCCCACCACCACCGCTCGCTCCGCGCTTTAGCTTTCTCCCGTCTTCCCAAGCCTTCGCTTCGCATCTCGCTTCGGATTCCCTCTGCTGCTTCCTCGTCGATCCACTAACGAGGGTAGCCATGGCCGGGAGAGGTAAGGCGATCGGCTCGGGCGCCGCTAAGAAGGCCATGTCCAGGAGCTCCAAGGCCGGGCTCCAGTTCCCCGTGGGAAGGATCGCCAGGTTCCTCAAGGCCGGCAAGTATGCCGAGAGGGTTGGCGCTGGCGCCCCCGTCTACCTCGCTGCCGTGCTCGAGTATCTCGCTGCTGAGGTAACAAGACTTCAATTTTGCGGCTATAGTCTTCGATTTGGTTTTGAGGACTGGAAAATTTGGGTCCTGGGGTGTCTTTTACTTCTATATAATTGGTGGTTAATTGCCAAAATTACCTGGATTGAAGTAGAATAACTAGGGGATTTTGGCTGATGATTTAAATTTCGGTGGTTGATTTGCTCGAACCATTGAGGATTTTGACTAATCGTTCGGATTCGCTCCCTGTTCGTGCAGGTTCTCGAGCTTGCCGGGAATGCGGCTCGTGACAACAAGAAGACCCGCATCGTGCCGCGCCACATCCAGCTCGCCGTCCGCAACGACGAGGAGCTCTCCCGCCTGCTGGGTACCGTGACCATCGCTAGCGGTGGTGTCATGCCCAACATCCATAACCTGCTGCTCCCCAAGAAGTCCGGTGGTGGCAGCGCCAAGGCCGCGGCTGGTGATGAGGACTAGATCCCTAACCACACCTTTCTTCCGGTGGTGGCACCTCTTATGGGTGCTGCCGTATCAACTTGTGCTTGTGAAGAAGTACGTTCTAGACTCGCCTTAGGTGTTGCGTTGTAGTTGGGGATGTGTGTTCCTGTGTACCACTGCTAAACTAGGTTACTCTTGTGCTTGCTAAGGATTAGTTCTGTATTTGTTGCTATAAACGGTGCATCCTTTGGATGACTGGTTGATCAAACCTGGTATTCCAATTTACATTTCGTGTTTGGATTGATTCAAAGTCTGGATCAGTCCAGTTGAAAATTCTGAAATGTTGTGCTGTGCAGTTTTGAAATTTATTTCTGAGATTGGATTGGATCATTGGAAGAATATGGTGTCCTGCTATGCGGATTTGATGTCTCAACTAGTGGGGATTCTGCATGTGAATGTGCGATCATTCAGTCATTGCCAATCTCAGACGTGAATTTCGGGACTGCAGCAAAGAGTTCATAATCTGAGTACAGTAGTGCTTTGACATGAAAAATGTGGACCGTGATCTTAAAGGAAGCTGTTAGATTGTTGCTTGTGTTCTTTTAGTTCTAAGTGTCAGTGGATCTAGTGCAAGTTTCATGATGCGCAGTGAAGTTTTATGCGGGCAGTTCTGAATTTTTGCTCGAGATTACCCCGAGAATTTGAAACAGTGCTATGCCCGGAGACATTGATAATTGACATCCAATTTGCGAAGAACGCTTGGTTATGATTATGGCCTGAGCTAACAAGGGCATATTTCCAGTCCGTCTTCTGGATGGATAAAGCCAACAACAAACTACTCTGAAGTTTTTCACCAAGAGAAGGCTCTCAAGTTCCGTATTTCCGCTGAGAACAAGGCTAATCAGAGGATTATCACAGTTCTTGGCTTGAGTTAGCCGAGAACCATTCAGCTGCAGCAACAGCATAAATGATGGAACAAATTTCTTGTGACACTGTGTTGGTCTGTTTGCAAGGGTATTGTGAAATCACAAACAAAGCCATCGGATTCACAAGTCTGCGCTGCATTTCTCTGTGTTTGGTACAATGGTACATGTGTACAGTGAACAGAAGAACAGTATTTGTCAGACTACCTCTTGCATTTACACCGGCTCTAAACTAGAGCCAGTTTTCTTCCATTTCCTTTGAATTGCCCATTTTCCTCCAGTCACCTTTCAGATAGATGCTGACTCGACCATGAGCATCCTTCTTGCTCGATGGGATAGAGTGCCAAACAACCCCCTTGGCCAAGAATGCCAGATCAGGTCTGATGATTTGCTATTACCAACACAACAGTGTAAAGTCAAGCCAGGTGCCCAGGTTTCCCAATTTGATTGTCGATCAGTGAATGGCCAAAATAGCGTTGATTTATCATCCCCCCATGAATTTTCATTTATTTTGTATCAGTGCACTATTGTTTGGAAGGGTCAATTCAGTGCACTTTGAAGGGGAAGACAACGGGTTCCTTGATTTGATATACAGCTAATCGTCTTCATCAGAGCTTGAGCTTGAACTATCTGCCCTTTGGTCTTGAATTGCTGGGAATAGGTTGCGCCTGGGATCATTGAAAGATGCTTGGGATGGCTGAGGGGTCTTTGTTTTCTTTGGAGCCACTTTTGATGCTTCTTTCACCTCTTTGCAAACCTTGCCCAGCATTGCAAGGAAATCTCGAACTACCACAAATAACCGCAGGCCCTCGTCCTTCCCTGTACTCCCATGGAAATAATCAACAGTGCCCCGGACCAAGGACCGTATTTTCTTCTCTTCCTCTAGCAACAAAGCAACATCCGTCTGAGACTGCTCTGCGAAATGCTTCAGCTTGTGGTGAAACCCACTGTCTTCATCCAGACTTTTCATGCTCGTGTTAAGGAATTCTTTGGTTTTCACAAGCTTGTGGCCAAGGCTTGCTACTGACATTGTCAATTGATCTGCATCCAGGATTGCTGCCTTCCTGACATTTTGTAGCTCATCACCTAAACTGGATACAACTTTCAGCCCAAGTTGTTTGTAATCATCTTCAGTTTGCATATTATTACCGTCAGTATCATTGGCATCCACACTGGATACACTGCAATCCTGCTTTTTTGCAGCCCTTGTAGCACAGATACCTTCAGAACGAATGATTTCTTGAACTACAAAATGCAAAAGTGTTGTCTTCCCATCAGTTCCTTTGACATCAGATAGCTTAAGGAGCGTGTCAAGTTTAAAAGCCTGAGCTCCTCCACGGAATGTGCCGACATTCATCCGGTTTCCTGTTTTAAGGACCGCTTCAAGCAGCTTCAAGAAAAGTCGGCTGTTTTTAAGCTCTTGGCAAGCCACCTGATCAGGAAATGCCAAGAAAGCACCGATAAGAACATTGATCAATACAAAGAGTAGAGTTTGGAAGGAGCTTATGCAAGTTGTCTCAACTACATATTAGCTACAGGAAAAAAAATCAATATCCACTCCTACAGGTGTGCACAAATAGTGAGCAAAAGAATCAGTCTAAGAAAACAAAAATAAAATTAATACATCAGTGTCATATATAATGTATAAATTGAGAGGTTACAATGAATGTGTTATTACCTCTAAAGTAGCAAAAGAATGTTTCACATTTGAAGCTTCCTCTGGTAGATTCGACATGAAAAGTAATGCATCCAGGCGATGGAAAATATATGGAATATCAATAATTGCTTTTAGGAATTGCTCTGCAGGACCAAGCTGAGACAGTTCCCCAGTGTACAGTCGAAGCCTAAGCTCCTCATCATTGCTTGGGGTCCACTTTAGTAGGGTGTCTATCAAGTCTGGTGGAAGTTCATTTCCTACAAATTAGCAAGGGCAGTGGGTGAAATAAAATACAGTGACGGGAAACAGTATATCTCAGAGGAACCATTTTGGTTGCATATGAAAAGATCGATGTTCGATATTTGGAAAATGCGTTAACACCTTAGCTCAGAAAAAAGAGATTAGTCTCTAATATTTATATTTAGGTTATGGAGGTGAGGTCAAATTAATATAGTCATGTAGCAACGTCACTATATCCAATATTACAAGAGAAGTTCTAAACCAGAAGATGGAGAAATTAAACATCATTGCAGCATTAGTGAATACTATTGCTTTAAAAAAAACTGTAGAATAAATATGCAGTTACAAGACTATATGCATTAAGAGACCTATGCATGTAAACGATCAGTAATGGCAGAAAACTGATTTCACCTTCCTTAACTGCACTACATACTTCCTCTGGTGAAACACTCAGAGCCCTTAATGATATCGCAAGGTTCTGTGCCTTCTTAGGGTCAAGTATCCTCACAAATTGAGGAACATCCTTAGATAATAAATCTTTCTTGCCATCACCGCCTGTTTTGTCCACAGAGTTATAACCAAAAAGGCTTTCCATCTTACCCTCATTAAACCTGCGGACCATTATAGGTAACTGGTGTGATCTTGCAACATTGAGCTAGCTGAGGTAAATAACTGTAAAGGCATCGATAAACTTACTGGAACGATCCAGACTTGAGGTGATCCCACACCATAGACTGATTAGCATTTGCTGTTACTTTATCCCAAAAGAAGGGCTTTAGCTTTGTTTTAGCTTCATGAGAATTTGCGCCATCATCCACCTTATTGCCTGATTTCTTCATAAGCGGCGGTGGACGTGTTTTCGATGAACCAGGCATTGCTGCTGGTGGTGGGCCGGTAGATTTTGGTGGCGGTGGAGGTGCAGCTTTTGGCTGTGGTGCGTCTTTTGGTGGAGGTGCAGCTTTTGGAGCAGATGGTGATGAGGGTTCTGGGTGAAGAACTGGAGTAGGTTTTGAATGTGGTGCAGGTGCTTGAGGAGTTGATGAGAGAGGAGCCTTCAGAGGTGCAGGTGCTTGAGGAGTTGACGAGGGAGGAGCCTTCTGAGGTGCAGGGGCTTGTGGAGTTGATGAGGGAGGAGCCTTCGGAGGTGCAGGGGCTGGAGGTGGCATAGCTGGTGGAGCTGTTGGTCTTGATCCTGGGACAGAACCAGTAGAAGCAGCCATTGGTTCAGCCAAACTGTTGTAGACTGCTGGGGTAACCTCAGTTTTAGAGATTTCAGATGAGCTTAGTTTGACATTGCCATTTTGGCCAGCCTCTGACTTCAGCGGCAGTGCTCCCAGCTTGTTGATATCAATTGGGTTTCCTTGGGAAAACTTAAGAGAAGCAGCTACAAAATAAAGCATGTAAATCAATACTAGAAGACAATGGCGCATTACTCCCTGCATTTTTTACAAGGCTTTGACCAACAGTTACACCATCAATATTTCAATTATGTGATACAAAATTATAATCGTAAATATTTAGTACAAAACTAACAGCATCAATTTTGTTGTTGGCCAAAGGATTGTCCTAATGAAACGAAATGAGCATCATAATTGCAAACAGTACACTGGAGAAAGGTGGGTGGGTGTATTTCATACCAGACAAATTACTCAGGTTCAGAATCAGAGGCGGTTTATTATCCCTTACATCAGATGAAGAGGCCTGGTTTGCATGGAAAACACAGCAGCATAAGCAGAGAAGAACTAACAACGCTATAGCAGACACAACCAAACCAATGACAGCAATGGCTGGCATGCCACTGTTATCTTCCTTTTTGGCCACTATTTTTTCAGTTTGGGGCACCATCTTTTCTTTGGGTGTTGTTTCTGACGGAGGATCTGGATTTTTGTCAGGTTTTGTTGAGGAAGGTTCCCCTAAAGAATGTGATGGATTTGATTTCACAGCTGCCGGTGGTGCAGGAGTTGCCGCTGCACCTGGAGATCCTTGAGCCACATCTCTTCTTAACATGGCAAAAAGCATTTTGATATAATCAATAGGCAAGTTTTTTGCACTCTCCTGAGCAGCAACGACAAGTGGATGCTTGCTTAAGCAGTTCAGCAAAGTGTTTTTAATTTCTGGAGACAGTGCTTTGCTGACATCTTCAGTTTCAGGAGAGCTGTCCTTAGTATCTTTTCCAGAGAGCGTACGGAGAATGTCAAATACGTGGTTGTAATTGAAAT